TGTAAAAATAGCTTAACTTAACAATGTTTAGTTTAATAGACAATTAAATACAATAATATAAGAATTGTTATAAAACGTTACAAAAAATAATAAAACAAAATATAACATTAGTTTTCAAAAGACTAAACATAATTAAAGTCTTATATAATGTTCAAAAAATGTTGACTCGAATAGAGTTTAGTCTGAAATGAAAGACTCTTTTGAAATGATGTGCAGAGAAAGGGAAGAGAAGTTATGTTTTGTGAAAATGTGTATAAATTTAATTTTAAAATTAGAGCCAATGAGTGAATAAATGGCTGAGACTTTATATAAGAGTTATAATACATATGCAGATGTGTTATACAGAGTCTTATTAACGAGAATTCAAACACAAGAATCACAACATATTCTTCAAACACATGTAAAAAGAGTGCAAAGAATTTGTTGCAATGTTTTGTGTTTGCATTTCAAGCATACAATCGATTGTATTGTTTGCTTCACTCACTTGTACTCCACTTGTGGTATATATGAGGCGATAATCGCATCAAATGTTTGGCCAAATATTTGCCACCAATTGTTGATCGAAACGAGATGTGAGTTAAGGCCACAGATAGTAGTGATTGAGATGAAGACAACGGTTCCGCCGGTGATGTCACCGATGATGACTCCGAGTCACGCCTTAAGTATTGTTCATTCATATCATTTTAGACAAGATTTTACGCCAATTATCGTTAAAATTATATTAATTATAAATAAATCACAGAATTTGAGCCAAATTTTTGCAAATTCTTGTCTCAAAATTTGATTTTATAACTCATTTAATACACATTTTTGTAATATTTTTTGATTTTACTCAACGTTTTGTATTAAAAACACAGTAATTGTAAAAAGTATTACAAAATGAGATAAATTTCCTCAAAAAACACATCAAAAAGCGATTATTTGTTGAATTTTGTGTCGAAATAACAGAAACCCATAAAATTGTATTTATTTTTGGTATTTTGTGTTTTGTTTTGCATTTGAGGCCTATTTTTAACATACCTTACGTTTACTTCAGAGGGAGACTGGAGTCCACACAACAGCCCTTCCCTACCCTTCCTAACCATCCCTTTCCTAATTCATTGAAGCCTTGAATGCAATTCTCTTCAAACTTTGCAACCATTTATTATAACATTTTTATAACTTTTCTTTTTATCCAACCATTTGTTACTAATTCTGATGCTCTCATGATTTAAAGTTTTAATCATTAAAATATGAGTTTTAATTATCAATTAAGAGATACATTATAACAGTAATTATTAAACATTTTAATGATCGATAAATAATATTGCAATTTAATTAAAACATAAGATTTGTATTTGAAAATGGCATAGTTTAATTATTTCAAAAATATATCATATAAGTGGTGAGTAATTTCATTTACAGCTAATATTCATGACAATAAATACAACACAAAGTTATTAGAAATACAAACGAAAAACTTATCGAAAGAATAGTGAATTATTGAATTATAGAGCACCTAGGGCATCTAGGACAATTTATTACAGTGTATGACCAACTTTATAATTTTATATTTTCATATGTATAATAGTTATTTGTTATGCAAAAATGTTGTGTTATATTTAATTAAACGGTGAGATAATAAACTCAATTGATATCACAAATAGTTGTCGTAATGGCATTAAATTGGATACAATTTATTCATTACAATACCATTCAATTGAATGCAAAGTCAAATGCAATCAAACCAAGTGTTGAAATGAGCCAAAAGGTGTCACACATTGAGTCCTCACATACTTTACGAGTCGTTGAATAGAAAACGTGTTTTCAATGCTTTTCTAAAACTTTGAACACATTTTGCATTCATTTTCAATTCATTCGCTGATGAGATGTGATTGAGATGTGACCACCACTTCTAACTATTATCTCTTTTTTGTCCATTATTTTAACCATCATTTGTACCATTAATACACATCTAATGTCTTACGCATTGATGTGCACAATATGTCCAGCATTTGGATGACATGTTGAATGTCTGATCCGGTGTCGATCCGGAGGTATCTCAAGACAGCACCGAAAATGCCGGAACCGGTAGTCGAGTCCGTTGTCACTCAATCCACGAGTCTTTTGGTTCAAACACTAGATGTTTGCCACTATTTGAATGGTTAGACTGAGGAGAGAAAGACAGGACTCGGGAGTGGACACAGAAGGGAATGAATTGATTGTGTGGTAAGTGTGTGGACACGTGTTATAGCAATTGATGGTATGGTATGGATGTGTTTGTGCAGAACCAGCTCCAAGATTTTGTTAACCATATGAATGTTGGCGTTCTTATATCTGCAAAAGTAAAACCAATGGTTGAATCGCTATGTTTTCCATGCATTAAATGTGTGGTTAAACACGAAATTCAACGACAAATCCATTAATTAATTGCTATTTATTGAGTCTTCAAATCATTTCTTTTCTATTGTCTTACAATTTGGTCTCAATTGAATCATAGGTTCCCGAGAAGAGTGGGCTCTTTGGTTGAGGACAGACACGACCTATAGCTTGATGTATGGCTCGGCTTTGGAAGCGATTGCCGGACATTACTCTTGAGATGAAGAGTAGATTACTATTTAGTATATTTGTGTTGTAATAATTGATATATTTTGTAAACTTGTTAATTATTTTGCAAATTAAATGCATATTTACGGACTATTTAATGTTTATTTGACTAAAAAAATCAATTGTTGTGTACATTGAGACCCAATTTGTGACAGCATTTTATTGATAGCCTTATATTGTGTTCAGATATGTGGAGAAATCGATGACCTTTTCCTACAACCCATCGGATACGACATAAATACTTAATATTATAATAAATCATTATTTTCTCACTTCTTTGACAATATGTGACAAAACAATTGAAATCAATTTGTTTGAGCCATTCATTCATAAATATGATTAAAATTAGGGATTTTTGCTTAAAATAAGAAAAATACCAGAATTTTTGGTCCAGATATGAACTTTTTTTCAATCACAACCCATGCCTTGTGTTTACGGTATTATATCATGTAATTAATTATTTACGAGAATATTCTGTATATTCATAACAATACAATTGAAACACAAAATATCACTTAAATATAATGAATGTTTAAATTATGTAAAAATATATAGCAATGTCTAATTTAAGAGTGACACACATGAATCAAATGGCATAACACAATGCACTTATTTTATCAATTAAACAGTGTTTTGTTTGATTAATGTCCTGAATCTCAGGTATAACTCATAATTATAATGATATTTAGGTTATTATAATAATTAATAAATAAAACTTTTATTTATAAATCACTTTACATTTCATAACGAATACATTCTTATAATTAGAATTTTCAATTAAAAAATCATCAGAATATCTAAATTTTAGATTTAATTTCAAAATGTTTAGGAATTATATTAAATTAAAAACTAATTACAAATAGAATTAATATTAAAATTGTTATAAAATGTCTAATTTCGGGCAAAAACTACATAAACGTAAGCAATGGTGAGAAGAAAGACAGTGTTATAGACATTCACTTCATGCCAATAGAAACACAGGAATATAAGCTGAAAGACCAATATATCCATTACATCAGAGTATAAATTGTTGATTAAATCTGAGGTCAATTTGTTTCGCTGTTGGACTCGTCGGAGGAAATTGGTTGCGATGCAGAGGCTCATCGAAACGATGGCAAACCTCATGAGACCCAATGAGGCCATCGACAGGACCAGCGCCTGTGCCTCGTCGTCAAACTCGACTTCAGTTACGATCGCATTGCGGTTGTATATCATGTAAACGACACCCTCGGCCTCAATCAGCCAGATATAGGCGCCGAGCCGTG